CACACACACAGACAGAGAGAGAGAGAGAGAGAGAGAGAGAGAGAGAGAGAGAGAGAGCATGCCCTTTCGCGGTGCCAGAAAAGAATGGGACAGGGCTTGGAAGGGCAGGATAGGTTGATTCAAGTAGAAACATGTCTGGACACTGTCATCGGGTTTGAACCAAACCACAGCAACAATGATCGATATATCGATCTCTATACCTGTCTAGACAGGCCCTAAATTGGTGATGTCAGGAGTCATGGCTGTCCCTTTCACCTCTAGACAATAAAAGACAAGAGGTTTCCCACTTGGAGGAACAAGATATAGGTATGAGAAGGAAGGAAGTGATGTCAGCAACTCTAAGAACGGCAACCTAAGTTTGAAGGAAGGTCATATCCGCTATGAGCAGTCTAGGAAACCTGAGGAGGTTATCCGTTTTTATTCGTCCCCATACAAAGACACAAATCTTCTTGAGTGTAAGCTGAGTTGCACCCAGACACTTCCAACTGTGACAGCTTGGGTGGGTAGGTGGAGCATATTCTTCTTATCCATGATTATATGCATTGAGCCAGATCTCTCCTGCATCCTTCAGGGAACTGCAAAGAGAAAATAATGGTCATGGCTCATTGCTAGGAAATAGCAGTGAAATTTTAGAACTGAAAGAACACCCATTTGACATAGGAAGAAATAATAATAAATAAACATGGACCATCAAATCAATTCTCACTTATGGAATAAGGGGGGGAAAAGCTAAGAAAAAAGCATCTAATCACCCAATCTTCTGAAAAGGACAAAAGCTGATCCCACAGCTACACATACTCAACTATCCCAAACACTACACCAGAACACAGACAGAGTTCTAACTGCTGTCCGCTGAAGATGCCAGCCACAGAGACTGGCAAAACATTAGAAAGAAAAACCTCCAGAACATGGCCAAATGGCCCAACAAAACTACAACAACCAACAAGCATCTACCTTGTCATTCTCCATGGCCACCCAATGCTGCTTCTCCCAGGAATTCTACTCCTGTGCATGTTCTGTTAGGTCTAAATTCCTTGTTGGCCAATGGGACTCTGATAGAAGAGCACTGTTTCTCAGCAACCAAAGTGAATGGGGGTCAGGGTGGAAGGTTTGCCTTTCTCTGTGTTACCCAGTGCCTTTCACATTAGATGAGAGAGAAGCCAAAATGGCCGCCGGAAGAATAAAATGGCCGCCCGCTCCGTTTTCGCGCCCTGCCCTCGCTTACAGAGGCAGCAAAAATGGCAGCCGGATGGGGAATCTTTGCTTACTGGTGAGTTTTCACCCCATGGGGTTTTCGGTTCCGTTTAGCGATGTTTCCGGATAGCGACATTAATCCTGGAACGGATTAACGTCGCTATGCAGGGCACCACTGTATTTTGTTGGTTGTGATTTATTTCTTTTTGTGTTAAATGTTCATTAGTATTCAATTACCTTTTTTAAAAAGAACATTCTTCTTGTTTCCTATGAACCCAGGAGACAAGCACATTCTGTGACTCACTTAATCAAATAGAGTTCATGAATTATGTATTATTCCTCCCTTGACACTTACCTGGCCTGGCTAATCAAAGCAGTCAGGCCTGTAACAACGGAATGAGCCACAGCAATAATTAATCGGTCTCTCCAAGAGGGCAAGGTTCCTTTTGCCCTCAAGGAGACACTCATTAGGCCCATTAGGAAGAAACCAAATTTGGCAGCAGATGATATAGGAAATTATAGGCCCCTTGCCAATGTTTCTTTCTTGAGCAAAGTGGTGGAGAGGGTGGTGGCAGACCAGCTTCAGACACTTTGGGATGAAACCAACGCCCTGGACCCATTTCAGTCGGGCTTCAGGCCATGCTATGGCACAGAAACAGCACTGGTCACACTGTTGGATGACCTGCTGAGGGAGGCTGACAGGGGCAATGCGTCCTTGTGGGTCCTCGTCAATATCTCAGCTGCCTTCGATACAGTCGACCACGGTATCCTCCTGGGGTGGCTCTCCGAGTTGGGAATCAGTGGCCTGGCGCTTGCCTGGCTCCAATCCTTCTTGTACTCCAATACTCAGAGAGTACAGCTTGGGGAGAGTGTTTCAGCCCCGTGGAGTCTCAACTGTGAGGTTCCTCAGGGGGTCGATCATCTCCCCAATGCTGTTTAATATCTATATGAGGCAACTGGGCGGGTCACTGGGGGTGTGGGGCTTCGTGCCACCAGTACACTACATCTCCTTTTCACTTACTTCAGTGGATGCCGTTCTGTCCCTCCAGCACTGCCTGGACACCGTACTGCAATGGATGCTGCTGAATGTCATCCATATTGGATCAGACACCATTTATGCAATCAGAAATATGGGTTAAAGGAAATACTTCCTTTATTTACCTCCCTCTATCTTTAGGAATGGTGATACCCATCTATTGTTCCATAAAGCAGCATTTTTTAAATGTCATCTGTGTGCCTCCCCACATTGCGGAGGTCTTGACCTGCATGCCCTTTCCTCTTTATACCTTGATACAGCTTCCCACAGATACTCACTGCACAATATCTGCAAAGCCAGTGAACAGGGGTTTGGTCTGGTAGTCTATCCCATGTTTGGCACACATTGCCTTGACCAAGGGGGCCACCTTCCAGAAGTTGTGTCGAGGCATTGTAGGAAACAGGCTAATAGACAACAAAGGGCGAGGGGGGGAGAGAAAGAAGTTGACATTTTAGATCCCTTTTTCTTCTCACAGGCCCTGTGATGTCAGGTTCTCAGCAGTGGTTCCAGGAAACTTCTTCAGTACCCTAAATATGTACTTAAAAAGGTAAAGGTAAAGGTTCTCCTTGACAATTTTTGTCCAGTCGTGTCCGACTCTAGGGGACGGTGCTCATCCCCGTTTCCAAGCCATAGAGCCAGTGTTTGTCCAAAGACAATCTTCCATGGTCACATGGCCAGTGCGACTTAGACCCGGAACGCTGTTACCTTCCCACCGAGGTGGTCCCTATTGATCTCCTTGCATTTGCATGCTTTCGAACCGCTAGGTTGGCGGGAGCTGGGACAAGCGACGGGAGCTCCCTCTGTTGCGTGGATTCAATCTTACAACTGCTGGTCATCTGACCCTGCAGCACAGGCTTCTGCGGTTTAGCCCGCAGAGCCACCATGTCCCTACAAATATGTACTTACTGGTGTTCAATTTGAAAATTGAGATGTCCTGTTATCCAGTCGTTGAAAAAAGATTGCTTCACATTGCATGTTGCCT